GCCACGGGAACACTTACCAGAATAAATTGTATGAGTTCAGCACAAGGGCTGTCAGGGGGGAAGTTACATCACTCAGCTGTTTTTAAGATTTAATTTACTGCTGTGTGTGTGTGTGTGTGTGTGTGTGTGTGTGTGTGTGTGTGTGTGTGTGTGTGTGTGTGTGTGTGTGTGTCAGAGAGCCAACTCTGGGTGATGGTAAGCAAACTCCAGTCTTCTGCAAGAACACGGCGTGCTCTTCCCTGATGCCAGCCCTCTTTTTCTGCTTTTGTTTGTTTTGTTTTTTAAGACTCATTCTGGCTGCTGAAACAGAAAGAGCTTTAAAGTGGGCATGAATGAAAAGCAGATGTCCAGTTATGAGAGGATCTATCCCAAGAGTTATCTCATTTACAACAGCGTATGAACACATGGAGTGTAGTGCTTAAAACAATAAGCAGTTGTTAAGTAGAAAAGATGTCCCAATGTACTAACAATGAGGCAAAGTCCCCACAATTTTAACAGCTTTCTAAAATTATGTGGACAACCACTAAAATGTTCAGATTTCCTTACTGGGAATTGAGGAGAGACTTCCAGAACACCATAAGGAAGGGGAGTTAGTAGTCTAGATTTACATACCAGTGTCCCCTTCCATCAGGGTTATGTCATTCAGATACACAATGTTGGTGAAGGCCTCCCTCCTCCTCTCCAGCTCCAGACAGAGTGTAAGATAGCCAGGCCAGAAACTTGAAGGGAATAAAGTTGATAAAAGGAGTAAGTACAGTGAAAATCTACGAACTACAATGTTCATATTAGCCACATGAGGTCATTAAAGCTTAAGGTAAAAGTACATAAAAAGTAAAACTCACAGTTAATTTGTTGTTGTTAAGATAATAGTTTTCTGGATTTTTTTGTTTTTGTTTTTTTTTCAAGACATAGTTTCCTCTGTGCAGGCCTGGCTCTCCTGGAATTCAGTCTGTATACAAAGCTGGCCTCAAACTCAAAGATCTGCCCGTCTCTCCCTCTTGAGTGCTGGGATTAAAGGCATGCATCACCACCACCTGGCTGTTAAGTCTTTTTATTATTTATTTCAAGAACTTTAAAATGTGTTGTCTGTGGGTATGATGCCCACATGTGTGCCTGTGCATCACATGTATACCTGGTGCACAAGGAGTCCAGAAGTGGGCACTGGAGTTACAGACAGTTGTGAGCTGCCACGTGAGTGCTGGGAATTTAACCTGTGTCCTCTAGAAAGTACTCTTAACCCATGAGGCATCTTCGAACTCCCAAGATTTACTTATATATGTATGTATGCTTTGTTTTCAAGGTAGGTTTTTTCTTAGCAGTCCTGGGTGTCCTAGAACTCATTTTGTAGACCAGAGAGGCCTCAAACTCACAAAAAGCTGCCTGTCTCTGCCTCCCAAGTGCTGGGAATAAAGGTGTGCATCACCATCACCCAGCCCAAGATTTATTTCTATATTATGTGTATGTATGTTTCTCTACATATATGTTTGTGCATAATGTACAAGCCTGGAGTCCCCAAAGACCAGAAGAGGGCATCAGATCCCAGGGAACAAGAATTACATCATGTAGATGCTCAGGAATTGAACCTAGATCCTTCTCAAGAGCAGCAAGTGTTCTTAATCACCGAGCCATCCTTCCAGTCCTTAAAAGTCAGATTTTGTAACTAAAAGTTGGTGATCCCATGTGGCTAGTGGCTAGGAAGCAGTACAGTAGAATATTTCCATTATCACACAAACTTCCACTGGACAGCTTGATCCAGTACACTTAAGAAACAAAGCTTTATGTACTTTGCAAGTAATTTTGTTTTTCATTTTATTTCTGTATATGGCTGCTTTGCTTGTGCATGGTGACAGGCAGGCTAGAAGAACATGTCAGATCCATTGCAATTAGAGCTACAGACAGTTGTGCTAAGAATCAAACCTTGGTCTTCTGGAAGAACAGCCGGCACTCCTGCCCCTGAACCCTATCTCTAGCCCCTACTCTTTTTGGTGCCCTCCCTAGTCACCAAGCCCTCATCCTGTAATAATTCACACAACCTCTTCCTGCAGGCTTTCCTTTTTCATGGCTGACACTAGACATAATCTCCAGAGAGGCTAAAAGGGGGTCAGAGATGGCTCAGCAGGTTACAACACCTGCTGCCAACCTTGACAACCCAAGTTCTATCCCTGGGATCCTGGCAAAAGAAGGAAACCAACTCTAAAAGGCTGTTCTCTGACATCCACACAGATGACATAGTATGCACCTGCCCCCTCCCCAAAATTCAATTAAGAATAAAGCAAATTACTATCTATTATTTAAGTCCAAGAGTATCTCATGATCTCACCACCTGCCACCTGGCCAGTCTCATCCTGATTATGAATGAAAAGTAACATCACTGCATCGATTCTCTCTAAGGGACTAGAAAGACAAAGGTCCCTCTAAAAGCTACTGCTTCTGGTGGAGCAGAAGCCAAAATGAGACTAACCCTCTCATTAGCAGGGTCAGGTTCTCATCCTCTTTCTGCTTCCCTCTGCAGACCCACCTCACTCCACAGCCTTCAGGGCTGACTCCCAATCTCCCTGCCGCCTGAGCTCTTCATCAGGAAACCTAGTCTGATTCCCCCTCCTTGGAAATCTTTTATCTATTGACACTTGTGCGGAAATAATATGCAACTGGGCAGAGGAACTGCAAAAAACTCACAATGGCCATTCTCTTCTTACAATACAGGCATAAAATTTCAAGTAAAGATGATGATTAAAACACTTAAAACATAGGGCTGGAAAGATGGCTCAGGGGGAAAGCTCATAGGCTGCTCTTGCAGAGGACCTGGGTTCCATAGTTAGCACCCACATGGTAGCTCAGACCTGTCTGTAACTCCAGTCCCAGGAAGTCCTGATACTCTCTTCTGGCCTCTGTGGTGCACAGATATTCATGCAGGTAAAATAGCCATACACAGAAAGTAAAACTTTTAGTATTAAAAAAGGTACATTTACATTTAAGTACCAAATTGAATCCTTGCATAATAAAGCATACCAATGCAGGACCTTAAGTAGAGGGTTATTTCTGGATCCCAATCTTCACTCTAGCATCTGTCAATATCCTCACTTACCCATAGGACCTACAGATGTCAATCATTTTCTCTTTGGTTGTGAAGTCTGCAGGAAGTTTAATCAGAAGAAGGATCAACTGACTATAACCCCAGGAAAGCAAGTGTGAATGGGGCCTATGAAATGAAAAGGTACAGCAATGAGATAGGAGACAAACACTAGAAGGCACTTTGTAGTCATCTAACAGGTAAGACTACAGCTGAAGCATATACCACTATTATAGTTTCCAAATATTTGTTTTGCTCTTTAAAAAACGAAAAATAGCTACTTACTTATAATTTCTTCATCTCAAAATGAAACAGAAATAGGGACAGGGGTGTAACTCAGTGTTAGAGAGCCTGCCTACCTACCATGCAGGTACTGAGTTTAATCCTAATACCAATTTAACTTGATTTAATCCTAATACCTTGATTTCACCACCCACAACCACTGCTGTCTTCCTAGGGTTTTGCTGAGTAGTAAGCTTTTTTCGCAAAAAGCAGTGTTCTCAAAAGGCTTCCCTTAGAGGAGAACACAAGACTATTTCTGAGGTATGTACTGATGTTCTTTTGTTTTGTTTTGTTTTGTTTTAAGATTCAAACCCTCAGGGAACATCTACAAATTATCTGACACATCTTTTGAATGAAAGCATACAGAGTTTTTTTTTTTGTTTGTTTAAAACAGGCTATCCAGGGTTCACTGTGGGTCTCCAAAAGAACTGCAGGGAGGCCAGTTTAATTATTCGAAGTTACCTGCAAATTTTTACTGAATGTGTATTTTTTTCTGAAAGGAACAATGAGATTCTTTTTTTTTTTTTTTGGTTTTTCGAGACAGGGTTTCTCTCTATTGTTTTGGAGGCTGTCCTGGAACTCACTCTGTAGACCAGGCTGGCCTTGAACTCACATAGATCTGCCTGCCTCTGCCTCCCAAGTGCTGGGATTAAAGGCATGCACCACCAACGCCTGGCTGGAACCATGAGATTCTTACAGGGTCTGTAACCTCTCAGTGTTCAGAACCACCAGGATGTACATGGATACACAATGTTGTTACTCCGAGTACTTGGTTAGGTTTTCTGCTGCTGCTCCTAAGCTGAGACTGAGCGTTAAAAGGGAAAGTAACAGTTCTGCTGCAGAGAAACATTAACAAGGAGGACTGCTTACCTGGGATGTCCTTCGTCATCTAGTGTACTTGTGCTTGGTGGAGCATCATGGGACACTGCCAAAAGCAGCCAGTCAAGTCTTAAAGATTCTGGTTGAAGAAGGAACTCGAGGAAGGATGGCCTGAGAGCAAGTTGGGGAGAAAAACCATTAATCTTCACGAGAGAAAACAAAGCGTGCAGATATAAAGAGAACAATAAAGTATAACTTGAAACCTCCTCTACTACAAACAGCTAGCAATGCTAGTGGGAGTGTTCATCTACTAAATGAGTAATCCAGCTGAAAGGTGGTAGGGAATGGGGGAAAGGGGGGGATGTGAAGGGAGGCCCGTGTGGCAAGCAAAGGGAAAGGAAGAAGTTTCCAATGTGTAACTAGGAGTTACTGAAAGAAAAGAAACAGGGAGAGAGATCCACTCCCGAAAGCTGGGCGACTGCCATGAAAAGCACCACTGGTAGGGGAACAAGAATCTTGTCTGCTTTGGCTGACGCCCTGCTAAGTCAAGAATTTATTTTCTTTGTGAAGATTATTTATCTTTCTGTGTGTTGCCTGCATGTATGTGCACCATATGTATGTATTACCCTCAGAGGCCACTCAAGTCTCCTATAGTTACATCTGCTGCACGCTGTCATATGAATGCTGGGAATGGAACCTGGGTCCCCAGCAAGAGCAGCAAGTGCCCCTAACTGACTAGCCATCTCTCCAGCATGAAGGACTTAATGTTACACTGAGAACCCGAGACTCTCAGAGAGGAGGTGAAGTGTATGCTGAGAGGGTGTAAGACTGCCCAAATCCTCATCATCCACAGCGGGTGGCAGTGAAAATGTGACAGCTGGTGGCACAATAGAAACAGTGCTCCACCTAAAGCAGAGACTACCCAGTCCTTCTCACCACTGGTCTTCAGGCCTTGACTTCACCAGACTGTCCAGATAGGTCAGAAACCGAGCAGGATGGTGACGGCAGAGCTGTGAGACGTCCGAAGGCGAGATGGATGGATAAAACCTGATGAAGGCTCGAAGGGCAGACTCCCCGAATCTATCATACAATCTGCATTTGAAAACAGCACACCAGTCTCCAACCTCAATGCCATAATATGATTTGGTTATCCTATGAACTCACTAGAAATAAAAATAAGGGCTGGAGAGATGGCTCAAAGGTTAGGACCACTGGCTGGTCTTCCAGAGCTCCTGAGTTCAATTCCCAGCATTCACATGGTGGCTCACAACCATCTGTAATGAGATCTGGTGCCCTCTTCTGGCCTGCAGACAGACATGCAGGCAGAACACTGTGTACATATTATAAATAAATCTTTAAAAAAAAGGGAAAGAGAGAGAGAGAAAGAAGGGAGGAGGGAGGGAGAAAGGGAGGGAGAGAGAGAGACAGGCAGAGAGAGAGAGAGAGAGAGAGACAGAGAAAGAGACAGAGACAGACAGACAGAAAGCCTAGCAGTGGTGGCTCATACCTTTATTCCCAGAGGCAGACAGATCTCTGTGAATTTGAGACCAGCCTGGTCTCCAGACTGAGAAACCCTGTCTCAAAAAAAAAAAAGAATTTCATTCTGTTTTATTTTGGTTTTTTGAGACAGGGTTACTCTGTGTAATAGTTCTGACTGTCCTACTCACTTAATAGACCAGGCTCACCTCAAATTCACAGAGATCTGCCTGCCTCTGAGTCCCAAGTGCTGTGATTAAAGGTATTACTATGCCCAGCAAAAATAAATATTCAAATAAAAATCTGCACAATATGCAAATGAGTCAAACTTTAGCTACTAAGCCATAAAAATGTTACAGATGTTTAGGTTCCCACAAACAAGATACAGGACAGCCTACCGGGTGGCAAATGCAATTAACAAAGGACTATCTGAAGGGATCGAACCATCCAGTAACTGTAGGCCTGTGGGCAGGTCTCCTTCTTCCATTTCTGTGTACGCAGGGTTAGAACTTGCAATCTCTGAAAAGAAAAACAAAACAAGTCTTTCCCTTCACCTCTTGGCTGCAAATATTCTTGGACACATTCATCCAACAGTCTTCATCACATCCTAATGTCCAATCAGGGCAAGGCCCCAATATTCGTTAAGCATTGCAGGAAACAAAAACAAAACCTGCCAGGACATAATCACAAGACCATAAGGTGAAATTGGGAAATAAAACTCACTAGAATTTTATATGTGTGTGTGTGTGTATGTGTGAGTGAGTGTGTGTGTGTGTGTGTGTGTGTGTGTGTGTGTCTATGTGTGTCCTGGGGTACCTAGAGGTCAGAAGAGAGCAATGGAGCCTCTGGAGCTGGAGCTGTAAGCCATCTGATACAGATATGGATGCTAGAAATCAAACTCAGGACCTCTCCAAGAGCAGCAAACACTAGCACTTAGCTTCTAAGTGTCCCCTTCAGACTAATATACTGACATTTTCAGAGGACAAAAGAACAAATAGTGACCATATATGACGCCATTATGCCTGAAAAAATAAGTTTATAGGGCTGTGTCCCATATATATGTGTGTATGTATATCATATATATGATATATATATATATATATATAATCACAATCCACATCTCTGTTATCAATGCCAAACTGCTCAGTTTTTACAGAATCAGTATTCCCATATCATCTCTTAAAAATAAATCAGTAAAATTGATTTAAAAATAAAACCAAACCAAGACAAAACAAAAAATACAGTAGTCAAGCAAATATTCACCCTAAGAAGGAAGAATTGACTTTGGGGGAGCAGCCAGAAACATTTACAGCCAAACTTAGTGAATGAAGCAAATCAAAAATCCTTTTCTGAAATCCTTTTCTTAAAAGAGAAAAAGGTCAGGTGTGGTGGCACACACCTTTGATCCTAGCACTTAAGAGGCAGAGGAAGGTAGATCCAGTAGTCTGAGGCAACCCTGGTCTACATAGTAAGTTCCAGGACAGCCAGTGCTCTGTTGAAAAACCCTGTCTCCAAAAAAGAAGAAAGGAGGAAGAGGAGGGGAGGAGGAGGAAGAGGAGAAGGAGGAGGAAAAAGAAAGAAAAAAAATGGGTATGACTCTCACTCAGGAAAGGGAGGAGAGAATCCTTGTGCCTTTTTGAGGCTTGCTCCGAGATAAAGGAACTTTTCTTTTAATAGCGTAAGACAAAGGGCCTGAGGATAAATTACTGTTTGCTCAGACACAATGTTCTGGAGCTTGGTAAAGCTGCTACACTTAAGATTTTGGTTTTGGCAGCTGACCAGACAAATGTTAACTCTTTAATCCCAGGCATCAGCCTGGGAATCCAGCATGGGACTGATCAAGACCCCCTGAATCTGGGTGTCAGTGAGGAGGCCTAGGGAATCTATTGAGCCTTGGGCAGCAGATCAGTACCCATCCCAAGTATACACACGGACTTTGGATTCCCATAGAACACTGTGAGGTGCACTCTCACCCTGAACTCTTGGGGAATGTCTAGGCCCTGCCCTATATGAAATGACAGACTATGGACACCCCCATGGAGGGCCTCACCCTCCCTGGGGGAATGAGTGGATAAGGGGGGGTTGAGGGGAGGGCACGGGAAGAGGGGAGGGAATGGGAGAGGGACCTGGAACTGACTTGTGAAGCAACCTTGTTTCTTATCTAAATTTAAACTGGAAAATAAAATATATATAAAAAAGATTTTGGTTTTGGTTGTCTTTTCTATTTATTTGTGTTTATAAAACCTGAGTGTGACTTGTTTGCCAGTTACACAATGCCATGTGTCTTGGAATCTAAGTTCACTTACTCACTTTGCTTTGCTTTCAGATCTGACGAATACATTTTCACTGACATTTCAGTATGTTAGTCTACAGATGATCCCAGGGTAGGAACTGAGTAGGGTTTTTTGTCTGTTTTTGTTGTTGTTTTAAGCTATAGCCGTTAAAAAAGAAAATAAAGAAGAAACCAAATCCCAATGCTGTGTGACCTGTCCTGCTCTGCTGACAAAGGAGTTAAGCTTGGTACTGTAAGACACACTTCTCCTAAGTTGAGCACAGCTTTCAAATGTTTTTTACTTGTGTTTTGTTCTTGGTACAGCTGAATGTTCAAGTTGTTTTCAAAGTTCTGATATTTTAAAAAATAAAAATGAATTTGTTCTAAAAAAGGAGGGGGGTTATGACTCTAATGTAACATGAGGTTTTTCCCAGTAGTTTTCAATGGTCCTAAGACACATAACCAAGAATAGTTTCAGATCTGCCTTCCTTCAAGAAAATAAATAATCAGTTTGTTCTGAATGGCGAAAGAAGGTCTCTCTGTCTCTCTGTCTCTCTGTCTCTCTCTCTCTCTCTCTCTCTCTCTCTCTCTCTCTCTCTCTCTCTATGGCAGGAGTGAAACTGGCACAGTCGCTATGACAGTCAATGTGGAGGTTTCTCACAAAGCTGGAACTGGACCTGCCATATGACTCAGGTACACCACTACTGAGTATTCACCCTAAAGATCCCAAGTCAACACACCAGAGATACGAGCTCATCCATGATGTAGCTGCAGTGTTTTACAACAGCTAAGAAAACAAACAAGCCTGTATGTCTATCAGCAGAAGAATGGATGAAAAAATATGCTGTATATAAAGATGGTTTTTATGTGGTCCTAAACGAAAAAGAAATCATGATGTCTATGGGAAAATGGATGTAACTGGAAATCATATTAAGCAAAATAAGCCAGACTCAGAAAGACAAATGCTATGGATACAGAGAGAGTAATAGAAAAACTAGAGGGGGAAAAGACGTCGGCTGGAAAGAGAGAAAAGAAGGTAGGAAATGGATGCCATGATGAAACCCCTTACTTACTAGGCTAACCCTGAAAAGAACGTTTTTATTACCAGCGTGGGTGGGGGAGAAATGTGACTATATGGAGGTAGGAGTGCATGCCACAGTGCATGTGGAGTAAGAAGACAACTTTGTGGAGAGTGTCCTCGCCGTCCATCTTAACGTGAGTACAGAAAGTGCTTTTTCCCTTGGTCCCCAAATTCACTGACGACAAAACAACAAAAAAAAATCCTCCATGATTAGGGTATTATCAGAAAGGTGGCACCTGCCTAAAAGTCAATTTTCAGCTTCTACTTAAAAGGAAAGCATTTGTCCCATGCTGTTTCCAATTTGACTGGCAGTGGTAGCACATGCTTTTAATTCCAGCACTCAGGAGAGGCAGACAGATCTCTCTGTGTGAGTTCGAGGCCAGCCTGGTCTACAGAGCAGTTCCAGAACAGGCTCCAAAATTACACAGAGAAACCCTGTTTCAAAAAACCAAAACAAAGGAAGGCAGGCAGGCAGACCGAAAGGAAGGAAGGACAGACTAGCTTCTTATCCTAAGGTAATGAAACAAGTCGATGTTTGAAGAACAATTAAAGCTTAAACAATAGAATACAGGACCACTGAGATTGCTCAGTGGAAAAAGATGCTTGCTACCAAGTCTGACACCTGAGTTCAACCCTGGGGACCCACATGGTGGAAGGAGAGAACTGACTCCAAAGTTGTCCTATGATCTCCAAAACTGTGCCATGATACATTCATACATGTATGCAAGCATATGCATAACACACACACACACACACACACACACACACACACAAATAAAATAAAAAGTGGAATGGCTAGAGAGACAGCTCAGTAGTTAAAAGCACTTGCTGCTTTTGAGGACATAGATTTGTTTTCCATCCAACCACAAGAGGAGGCACACAACCACCTATATAATCCTGTTCCATGGGATCTGATACTCATTTCTAGCTTCTTCAAGCACCTGAATGCATAAGGCATAAATATAGACAAAGAGACACACATATATACATGAAAATTTTGTTTTTGTTTTTTTTTCAAAACAGGGTTTCTCTGTGTAGCCTGGCTGTCCTGGAACAAATAAAATTTTTTAAGATTTTTATTCTTTGTCCAGGGCGGTGGTGGTGCACACCTTTAATCCCAGCATTCGGGAGGCAGAGGCAGGCGGATCTCTGTGAGTTTGAGGCTGGGCTGGACCAACAGCCTCCAAAACAATACAGAGAAACCCTGTCTCGTAAAAAAAAAAAGAAGATTTTTATTGTTTGTATGTATGGATGTGCACTCTACCTGCATGTACACCCTTATGCCAGAGAGGGCATCAGATCCTACTACAGATGGTTGTGAGCCACCACTCAGGACCTCTGGAAGAGCAGCCAGTGCTCCCAACTGCTAAGCCATCTCTCCAGCCCAGATAAATACTTAAAAAAAGAGATTAAATAGCTAGGCATGGTGGTGCACACCTTAATCCTGGCACTTGGGAGACAGAGGCAGGCAGATCTCTGTGAGCTCAAGCCAGTCTGATCTACAAAGAGAGTTCCAGGGCAGCCAAGGCTGCTACACAAAGAAATCCTGTCTCAAAAACAAAACAAACAAAAAAACAAAAAGGTTAAAAAAATAGAAAACAGAAGGGAGGGCTGACCAAAACAGAGGTAAATTTTCTATTCAAATCTTTTGTCAAGCCCCCATATATAAAACACCTCTACATCTGATAATTACCTTTCAGTCCTTCAACAAAAGTGTCCCAAACACAAGGGCTGTTGGTGTAACTTAGCTTGATACTCTCCCTTGCTCTTTTCAAGTCCAGGAGAAAAAAATACTTCTTTAGGAAACGACATGCCAGGATTTCAGGAGAGAGCTGCTGTAAAGTACAGTCCACATGTCCGCCTAGGCTTTCCACTATGGAGTTCAATACGTTCAGATCCAAGCACAGCGTGGTCAACTCTGTCAGGTCTTTCTGAAGACTGTTGGCTATAGTGAACTGAGAATATACTCGAAAAACATCACCCAAGGGCTCACTAAGGCTGCTGACAGGTTCACAGGCTATATGACCACCAGTTTCTTCAATGCCTAAGGAATTCCTTTTACCTTCTTCATTATCTTCATCTAATACTCTCTCTTCTGACTCTAAGGAGGTGCACATCCAGGTTCAGTTCCACAGGTAGACTGCTGGTACTGGAAATGCCAGTGAAGTCCTTCAGGGAAAATGTTTTTTCTAACTGTGAGAGCCACTCACGTAAAACTGTTCTTAGTGACTTGGGTTCTAATAAAACCAGAGGGTCCAGTAACTTGGTCCTATACAAAATAGATGAATGTAAAAATTGTCTCATTTGTTTATAAAAAATAGATTATTTCAGTTTAAACAAACCTAACTGATAAAGTATACCCATCTGGAATAAATGTTGCTTTAAATGACAATTATCCCAACAAGCCACCAAGACAGACAACACTGACTCTGGAGTATATTACTGATTATTGAACATCCATTGCAAGTGAGGCTACCTCTGGCCTAGATAGTCAGGACCACTACTGATGCTGTCCAAAGGCCAACCCCCACTCACTGTAAACCTTCCCCACTTACATTGCTTCTGCTGTCACTGTTGTGAGTTCTTGAGGCCTGTCTTCTTCAAGAAGTGGACTAATTTCTTTCTCCCTAGAAAAGCATAAAAAAGAAGTTATCCTATTCACAAGCACTAGGGGTAGCCAAACTTTCTTACACCAAGACTTCTACTGCTTACTAAACGCCAAGTTTGCAACATGTTACACTGCCTTAAAGAGTCTTTTATTCCCCCATTATCTTCATCAAATATTCCATCCTTATTCATTAGCAATGGCACATCCTGGAGCTGACAGACAAGACAGCATAAATGACTCAAAGTGTAAGCTAGTCAGAAAAGCTAGGACAGGACCTGGATCTCAGTCATCTCCTCTTAATCTAACACTCCTCTGACATTCCAGGAAAGTGACAAGATGTCAGAGAGGGAGAAAGGTGGATGAGATAAGAAAATGAAACCCTGTCTCAACAAAATTAATTCTTTGTAAACTATGAATGTGCAGTTTCTGAGCTATGCTACAGTCTTCAGTGAGCAGTGTCATACATGCAGGGTCTCCCACTACACAGTCTGTATTCCATCGTGGCAGCTCCCGTAGCACTCCAGACTCAAAAGGCTTACTCAGAGTCTTCCTCCTGAGGGCGGGTATCTGCAATTACTTCCTCTTCACATACTTGGTCAACATCCTTGGGTTCAAATGTCTCCTTCAGCTCCGGGCTTGCATGAAGGGTGCCAATCTTCTCAGTAGTTTAACGCACAAAGCTAGAAACACTGAAAGTCAAATATATCAAAAGTGTCAAGAGTGAAAAATCTGGTTCCTGGCATTTCTTTTTTTTGTTTTGTTTTGTTTTGTTTTGTTTTTTGAGACAATGTTTCTCTATGACTTTGGATGCTGTCCTGGAACTAGCTCTTATAGACCAGGATGGTCTCGAACTCAGAGATCCGCCTGCCTCTGCCTCCCGAGTGCTGGGGTTATAGGCATGTGCCACCACCGCCCGGTTGTTTCCATTAGTACTACAAAACCAGCATGCTTATAGTAATTTTTTGTTTGTTTGTTTGTTTTTGTTTGTTTGTTTTTCCAGACAACTCTGTGGCTTTGGAGGCTGTCCTGGAACTCACTTTGTAGACCTGACTGGTCTCGAACTCACAGAGATCTGCCTGCCTCTGCCTCCCGAGTGCTTGGATTAAAGGCGTGCCCCACCACCGCCCGGCTTATAGTAATTTTTCTAATCAACCACAATTCACCTGAATACAATTCATATAAACTTAGAATAAAGTGATTCATTGTGTTTATAAAACTGTCCTGAGGTAAGTGAGTCAATAATAAAGGGAAGGTCTCTAATCCAGTTGTCTCTTCAATGTAATGTCTCCTTCAACTCAGATAAGTTAAGCATGTGCTCATCAGTTACTTTCTGGTCAGAGATAACAAGGAACAGACCCTTCTACAAGAATGTATACCCAGCAGGACTGGAGGTCTTCTTCTCCACAGTGATAGACA